AACAGTGAAGTTCGTCCTTGTACCAAAATCCTGTGTAGAATTATTTACTTTCCTTCTAGAAATACTTGAAATCTTAGCCCGCCTAGTATAGACATACAAGTATTGTATGTATTGTTGTGATCCTGTACAGTGCAAACGTTCAACTGTCTACCACAAAACACCAAATTTTCCATTATTAATTAGGTGACATGAACTACATTGATTCCTTTATTTATTGATAATTATTTTCAGACATAATTTTACATTCTAATGATTTTAGCGAATCCAAACAAACTAATTCCACACGTAAGATTAAAACGACACATTATGACCCTTAGCCTATTACCGCTACATATTATGGAAATTATATAATGTTAAATTCTTTAGCTTTAGACTCGAATGTTTAGACCAAAATAACTCTCTTGAAGTTCCCAAACAATAGAATGACTCCAGTGGATGTACGTCATCTACATATCCATTAATGTTTCTGGTGTTAAATGGGGGTTATTAAATTCTTCATCACCTGTCATTGCCAGGGACAGTCATAGATTATTTTTCAACGACGTAATGAATTGACATTCTAAACAATTCATCAATGTAAAATTGTTATACACCTAATTAGACGACAGTGAAGCCAAATTTCCAATGTGCTTGGTCCAACACAGTGATTTTTATTCCGAATCTGCATACTTAGGGTAAATGTTTATCGGGTAGGGTCCATCACCGAGGAAAAAGGTTAGACTGTTGACTGATATAATACACCTGACAGTCTGGATGTATGTACAATGACGACAATAAAAAAGTAAATGTTTGCATTTACGTGAGTGTCCGTTACAATATAATAAACGGTAGCCATCATTAAACATTTTCATTGAAGATTCTTATACAAGTTGAAACTTTGCATGGTATGTCAAATGTCAGTGGTCTGCACTTCCCGGATGTCTTGACAACATAGTAGGGCTAATAGAATCTTCCCCTACCCTAAGGGTTTGATAGAGAAATCTCCGCCCGAGGGGTGATTTTTGTTGTTGTCTGACCCGCGGCTCTACCGACGGCACGACAACAAGAAAATCACCCCAAGGGTTGGAGATTTCTCTGTCACATCCTCTGAGGGTAGAGAATGATTATTTTTCTCCAACCCCATTATTTCAGCTACGACGTAAAAAAAAAAAAAAAAAAAAACCCACAGTAGTGTCTGAATGGCGCATGAATATCACCATTCACGTTTCATGACGTCACTGTTTGAATGTAAATCATTACTCAACATAATATAGATCGTAAAAAAATCAATGATATTTATTAATTATTCATTTACAATATAGTATTTCTGATATTATATATCAATAGATCGATCAACATATGCTTTATATACCACATTCGTATATAAACAGTCGTTTTTCTCCCTGTCACTTCAAAGCGTACTTTGCAGGTCGTGATCAGTGTAGCTGACCGCGACCGGTGCACATGGCGGGGAATTTCGAGTCTTTCCTCGCCAGGCAGATGCGTGACATATTTACACTAGCGAGACAACAAGTTGAAGTTTGGTCCGAAGAATTATTCGTCACTATCGCTGTCGTAAATAACGCGAGGCCGTCGACGTGTCAAATTTATTTCAGGAGCCTGTGGCACGGTGGTGGTGGGAAACATGTGGTTGTGGGTTTGAATGTTAATGTTTCCTCCACTAATTGTGGATCCATAGAATATGGACCGTGTAACATCAGTTGGATCAGAACACATGGATATGCTGTTGTGTTGTTGTGTTTGGGAATTATTTTTCTTTTGCGAAGAGGTTAGTGTTTTGAAATCTCTCAGTCTCAGCCATTTTGATTTTTGACCAGAGGATCGCGGGAGTTGTCTCCCTTTGTACAAAAGAGAAATAGTCACTAGAGCGAGGTCACCGAGTGCAGTCATGTGGGATAGATTTATCCTCCATGGTTGTTCCACATGGGACATGTCTATCCTACATAGGCAGAGGTGGGAGAAAAGGATATTCCGTATGGTAAGATAACAGATATGAAAATACTGGTAGTAGAGCTCAGGTTTGACAGAAATATAACAGAGGCTAGAGAATACAGCACGTTGAATTCATGAAAGAGCGTGTAGATATTGCTAGGGCAATATGACTGATTTGGATAATAAATCGATATTTTTGTAAAAGATTGAAAGGCTAAGCTGTACTCAGTTACTTCTGATGATATACAAAGCGAAGAACAAATCGATTCTTCTTAGATTAGTCTTGAAAATTTATTTGACTACGATAGGATTCCTTATATAGATGTCCATTCTCGTAGCCGAATTTCAGTTTGACATATTATTACCATATACGTACCTTCACATTCTGCTGTATATTGGTTACATACCCCATCCTTACAGGTGTCAGGGCATGTCTTGTCACAGTACCTTCCATATTTCCCGTTCACACAAGCTGAATCAACGTTTATTACAATGTAATAAGCATTTTCACTCACATTTCGAAACAAAAAGATGTATAATCAATTTGCGTGTTATATCAGGTATGTAGTTTTAGAATGTCGACTCTGATCATCAAATTTACTTCTCAATCGTAGAAAGGTGCAACAACGTATAAGCATTTCAAACACTGATTTGATGGTGTATAAATCCTTACGTGAGTAATACTCCTTCTAGTAAATAGAAATGGGTTTTTTTCTGAGTTACAGGTACATTTATTCAGACAATTTCAATCATAACAATGAAAGTCAAATGAATTCAATTTGCAAATAGAAATGACACAGTACTTACATGCGCAAACGCCAGTCTCCACATCGCATATTTTCCCGAAACAATCATCAAAACAGCCTACACACACAGTTCCGCTTTTGAAAAATCCTTCTGCACAATCTAAAAATGATTTGATATTTTGTCAGGAGTAGCATACACCAAGTTTACTATAAAGATACGACTGTACATATCAGAACCCCAGATAATAGTTTAAAACGACGAAGTAAGCACTATCAATAGTTGTACAAGTACTTCAGGGGATTTTATACATGTTTACATTAACTTTTAATGAAACCAAAACACTGTAAAACAAATTAATGTTGATGTCGAGGTAGAAAATATTTGAATGTCTGCATTTCGTTCTGACTTACCAAACGTTACATTATATTTGACACTCATGAATAATGTGTCATATTTAAAATTCATATTTGTCTATTTTCAGTTTTTTCCTTCAACAAAAAACTTCCTTTTCGAGCATTAGACTGCTGCTCAGCACAATGTACGAAGTTGTTCAGATATTAAAATCCATTTTCTAGAATTTCTGTTGTAAATACAGAGAAATATGTTTAACCCAAAAGTGCATGTTGATAGTGGTATGAATAACGATGATAAGCTTTCAGGATTGATACCATTCATGCATAACAAAGATTATTTTCAATAATATATATCACCAGAGAGATAGAGAGAGAGACTTTAAAACGCGAGATTTGTTTTGTACTGACTTTGAAAATAAGTAACAGCTATTAGTAACAGTTAAGATCTCTGACTGGAGAATCTATTTCTATAGCAAGACTAATCAGTATCATATTGCTAACGTAGTCTGAATTTGCTTTTACGTTCGTGCAATCAACGAAGGAAAGATTTGTTGACATTATAAAAACAGTTAACGTTACCTCTATTGCTTAAACAACATGGTTATCGATCAAGTGCTATATATCCCTGTTTATCTAAAGTACAAGAAACAGTGAAGTTCGTCCTTGTATCAAAATCATTGATAGAATAATTTACATTCCTTCTAGAAATACTTGAAATCTTAGCCCGCCTAGTATAGACATACAAGTATTGTATGTATTGTTGTGATCCTGTACAGTGGAAACGTTCAACTGTCTCCCACAAAACACCAAATTTTCCATTAAAGATTAGGTGACATGAACTACATTGATTCCTTTATTTATTGATAATTATTTCCAGACATAATTTTACTTTCTAATGATTTTAGCGAATCCAAACAAACTAATTCCACACGTAAGATTAAAACGACACATTATGACCCTTAGCCTATTACCGCTACATATTATAGAAAATATATAATAGTATATTCTTTAGCTTTAGACTCGAATGTTTAGACCTAAGTAACTATCTTGAAGTTCCCAAACAATAGAATGACTCCAGTGGATGTACATCATCTACATATCCATTAATGTTTCTGGTGTTAAATGGGGGTTATTAAATTCTTCATCACCTGTCATTGCCAGGGACAGTTATAGATTATTTTTCAACGAGTTAATGAATTGACATTCTAAACAATTCATCAATGTAAAATTGTTATACACCTAATTAGACGACAGTGAAGCCAAATTTCCAATGTGCTTGGTCCAACACAATGAATTTTTTTACCGAATCTGCATACTTAGGGTAAATGTTTATCGGGTTGGATCCGTCACCGAGATAAAAAGGTTGGACTACTGACTGATATAATACACCTGACAGTCTGGATGTATGTACAATGACGACAATAAAAAAGTAAATGTTTGCATTTACGTGAGTGTCCGTTACAATATAATAAACGGTAGCCGTCATTAAACATTTTCATTGAAGAATTCCTATACAAGTTGAAACTTTGCATGATATGTCAAATGTCAGTGGTCTGCACTTCCCGCATGTCTTCACAACATAGTAGGGCTAATAGAATCTTCCCCTACCCTGAGGGTGTGATAGAGAAATCTCCAACCCGAGGGGTGATTTTTTTGTTGTTGTCTAACCCGAGGCTCTGCCGACAGCTAGACAACAAGAAAATCACCCCGAGGGTTGGAGATTTCTCTGTCACATCCTCTGAGGATAGGGGATGATTATTTTTCTCTCACCCCATTATTTCCGCCACGACGTAAAAGATTGAAACGCTAAACTGAACACAGTTACTTCTGATGATATACAAAGCGAAGAACAAATCGATTCTTCTTAAATTAGTCTTGAAAATATATTTGACTAAGATAGGATTCCTTATACAGATGTCCATTCTCGTAACCGAATATCAGTTTGACATATTATTACCATATACGTACCTTCACATTCTGCTGTATGTTGGTCACATACCCCATCCTTACAGGTGTCAGGGCATGTCCTGTCACAGAAGCCTCCGTAGTTCCCGTTCACACAAGCTGAATCAACGTTTATTACAATGTAATAAGCATTTTCACTCACATTTCGAAACAAAAAGATGTATAATCAATTTGCGTGTTATATCAGGTATGTAGTTTTAGAATGTCGACTCTGATCATCAAATTCACTTCTCAATCGTAGAAAGGTGCAACAACGTATAAGCATTTCAAACACTGATTTGATGGTGTATAAATCCTAACGTGAGTAATACTCCTTCTTGTAATAGAAATAAAGTTATTTTCTGAGTTACAGGTACATGTATTCAGACAATTTCAATCATGACAATGAAAGTAAAATAAATCCAATGTGCAATTAGAAATGACACAGTACTTACATGCGCAAACGCCAGTCTCCACGTCGCATATTTTCCCGAAACAATTATCAAAACATCTTATACACACAGTCCCGCTTTTAAAAAACCCTTCTGCACAATCTAAAAATGATTTGATATTTTGTCAGGAGTAGCATACACCAAGTTTACTATAAAGATACGACTGTACATATCAGAACCCCAGATAATAGTTTAAAACGACGACGTAAATACTATTAATAGCTGTACAGGTACTTCAGGGGATTTTATACATGTTTACATAAACATGTAATGAAACCGAAACACTGAAAAAAAATAATGTTGATGTCGAGGTAGGAATTATATGAATGTCTGCATTTCGGTCTGACTTACCAAACGTTACATTATGATTGACACTCATGAATAACGTGTCATATTTAAAATTCATATTTGTCTATTTTCAGTTTTTTCTTCAACGAAAAACTTCCTTTTCGAGCATAAGACTGCTACTCAGCACAATGTACGAAGTTGTTCAGATATTAAAATCCATTTTCTAGAATTTCTGTTGTAAATACAGAGATATATGTTTAACCCAAAAGTGCATGTTGATAGTGGTATGAATAACCATGATAAGCTTTCAGGATTGATACCATTCATGCATAACAAAGATTATTTTCAATAATATATATCACCAGAGAGATAGAGAGAGAAACTTTAAAACGCGAGATTTGTTTGAACTGACTTTGAAAATAAGTAACAGTTATTGGTAACAGTTACGTTCTCTAACTGGTGAATCTATTTCTATAGCAAGACTAATCAGTATCATATTGCTAACGTAGTCTGAATTTGCTTTTATGTTCGTGCATTCAACGAAGGAAAGATTTGTTGACATTATAAAAACATTAAATGTTACCTCTATTGCTTAAACAGCATTGCTATCGATCAAGTGCTATACATCCCTGTTTATCTAAAATACATGAAACTGTGAAGTTCGTCCTTGTACCAAAAGCATTTATAGAATTATTTACATTCCTTCTAGAAATACTTGAAATCTTAGCCCGCCTAGTATAGACATACAAGTATTGTATGTATTGATGTGATCCTGTACAGTGCAAACGTTCAACTGTCTACCACAAAACACCAACTTTTCCATTATTAATTAGGTGATATGAACTACATTGATTCCTTTATTTATTGATAATTATTTCCAGACATAATTTTACATTCTAGTGAATTTAGCGAATCCAAACAAACTAATTCCACACGTAAGATTAAAACGACACATTAGGACCCTTAGCCTATTACCGCTACATATTATGGAAATTATATAATGTTATATTCTTTGGCTTTAGACTCGAATGTTTAGACCAAAATAACTATCTTGAAGTTCCCAAACAATAGAATGACTCCAGTGGATGTACATCATCTACATATCCATTAATGTTTCTGGTGTTAAATGGGGGTAATTAAATTCTTCATCACCTGTCATTGCCAGGGACAGTCATAGATTATTTTTCAACGAGTTAATGAATTGACATTCTAAACAATTCATCAATGTAAAATTGTTATACACCTAATCAGACGACAGTGAAGCCAAATTTCCAATGTGCTTGGTCCAACATAATGGATTTTTACCGAATCTGCATACTTCGGGTAAATGTTTATCGGATAGGGTTCATCACCGAGGAAAAAGGTTGGACTGTTGACTGATATAATACACCTGACAGTCTGGATGTATGTACAATGACGACAATGAAAAAGTAAATGTTTGCATTTACGTGAGTGTCCGTTACAATATAATAAATGGTAGCCAAAGTTGAAACTTTGCATGGTATGTCAAATGTCAGTGGTCTGCACTTCCCGCATGTCTTCACAACATAGTAGTGCTAATAGAATCTTCCCCTACCCTGAGGGTGTGATAGAGAAATCTCCAACCCGAGGGGTGATTTTTTTTGTTGTTTTCTAACCCGAGGCTCTGCTAGACAACAAGAAAATCACCCCGAGGGATGGAGATTTCTCTGTCACATCCTCTGAGGATTGGGGATGATATTTTTCTCCAACCCCATTTTTCCGCCACGACGTAAAAAAAAAAAAAAAAAATCCCACCGTAGTGTCTGAATGGCGCATGAATATCACCATTCACGTTTCATGACGTCACTATTTGCATTTAAATCATTACGCAACATAATATAGATCGTAAACAAATCTATGATATTTATTAATTATTCATTTACAATATAGTATTTCTGATATTATATATCAATAGATCGATCAACATATGCTTTATATACCACATTCATATATAAACAGTCGTTTTTCTCCCTGTCACTTCAAAGCGTACTTTGCAGGTCGTGATCAGTGTAGCTGACCGCGACCGGTGCACATGGCGGGGAATTTCGAGTCTTTCCTCGCCAGGCAGATGCGTGACATATTTACACTAGCGAGACAACAAGTTGAAGTTTGGTCCGAAGAATTATTCGTCACTATCGCTGTCGTAAATAACGCGAGGCCGTCGACGTGTCTAATTTATTTCAAGAGCCTGTGGCACGGTGGTGGTGGGAAACATGTGGTTGTGGGTTTGAATGTTAATGTTTCCTCCACTAATTGTGGATCCATAGAATATGGACCGCGTAACATCAGTTGGATCAGAACACATGGATATGCTGTTGTGTTGTTGTGTTTGGGAATTATTATTCTTTTGCGAAGAGGTTAGTGTTTTGAAATCTCTCAGTCTCAGTCATTTTGATTTTTGAACAGACGATCGCGGGAGTTGTCTCCCTTTGTACAAAAGAAAAATGGTCACTCGAGCGAGGTCACCGAGTGCAGTTTTGTGGGATAGATTTATCCTCTATGGTTGTTCCACATGAGACATGTCTATCCTACATGGGCAGAGGTGGGAGAAAAGGAAATTCCGTATGGTAAGATAACAAATATATAAATAATGGTAGCAGATCTCAGGTTTGACAGAAATATAACAGAGGCTAGAGAATACAGCACGTTCAATTCACGGAAGAGCGTGTAGATTATTGCTAGGGTAATATGGCTATGGATTAAATAATAAACCGATATTCTTGTAAAAGATTGAAAGGCTAAGCTGTACACAGTTACTTCGGATAATACAAAGCGAAGAACAAATCTATTCTTCTTCAATTAGTCTTGAAAATATATTTGACTACGATAGGATTCCTTGTATAGATGTCCATTCTCGTAGCCGAATTTCAGTTTGACATATTATTACCATATACGTACCTTCACATTCTGCTGTATGTTGGTCACATACCCCATCCTTACAGGTGTCAGGGCATGTGTTGCCACAGAAACGTCCATAGTTCCCGTTCACACAAGCTAAACCAACGTTTATTACAATGTAATAAGCATTTTCACTCACATTTCGAAACAAGAAGATGTATAATCTATTTGCGTGTTATATCAGGTATGTAGTTTTAGAATGTCGACTGTGATCATCAAATTCACTTCTCAATCGTAGAAAGGTGCAACAACGTATAAGCATTTCAAACACTGATTTGATGGTGTATAAATCCTTACGTGAGTAATACTCCTTCTAGTAAATAGAAATGAAGTTATTTTCTGAGTTACAGGTACATGTATTCAGACAATTTCAATCATGACAATGAAAGTAAAATAAATCCAATGTGCAATTAGAAATGACACAGTACTTACATGCGCAAACGCCAGTCTTCACGTCGCATATGTTCCCGAAACAATTATCAAAACATCCTATACACACAGTCCCGCTTTTGAAAAATCCTTCTGCACAATCTAAAAATGATTTGATATTTTGTCAGGAGTAGCATACACCAGTGTTACTATAAATATACGACTGTACATATCAGAACCCCAGAGAATCATTTAAAACGACGAAGTAAGCACTATTAATAATTGTACAGGTACTTCAGGGGAATTTATACATGTTTACATAAACATGTAATGAAACCAAAACACTGTAAAACAAATTAATGTTGATGTCGAGGTAGGAATTATATGAATGTCTGCATTTCGGTCTGACTTACCAAACGTTACATTATAATTGACACTCATGAATAATGTGTCATATTTAAAATTCATATTTTTCTATTTTCAGTTTTCTCTTCAACGAAAAACTTCCTTTTCGATCATAAGACCGCTGCTCAGCACAATGTACGAAGTTGTTCAGATATTAAAATCCATTTTCTAGAATTTCTGCTGTAAATATAGAGAAATATGTTTAACCCAAAAGTGCATGTTGATAGTGGTATGAATAACCATGATAAGCTTTCAGGATTGATACCATTCATGCATAACAAAGATTATTTTCAATAATATATATCACCAGAGAGATAGAGAGAGAGACTTTAAAACGCGAGATTTGTTTTGTACTGACTTTGAAAATAAGTAACAGTTATTAGTAACAGTTACGATCTCTGACTGGAGAATCTATTTCTATAGCAAGACTAATCAGTATCATATTGCTAACGTAGTCTGAATTTGCTTTTACGTTCGTGCAATCAACGAAGGAAAGATTTGTTGACATTATAAAAACATTAAATGTTACCTCTATTGCTTAAACAACATGGCTATCGATCAAGTGCTATATATACCTGTTTATCTAAAGTACAAGAAACAGTGAAGTTCGTCCTTGTACCAAAATCATTGATAGAATTATTTACATTCCTTCTAGAAATACTTGAAATCTTAGCCCGCCTAGTATAGACATACACGTATTGTATGTATTGTTTGTGATCCTGTACAGTGCAAACGTTCAACTGTCTACCACAAAACACCAAATTTTCCATTATTAATGAGATGACATGAACTACATTGATTCCTTTATTGATTGATAATTATTTTCAGACATAATTTTACATTCTAATGATTTTAGCGAATCCAAACAAACTAATTCCACACGTAAGATTAAAACGACACATTATGACCCTTGGCCTATTACCGCTACATATACTGAACAAAATAAGTTAAGGATCATAAACTTGAAACAGTGCAGTTTTACATACAAATAATAATATGATTATATTTTAAATTTTAATGACAGAACATTCATTTTAGTCTTTAATTACACAAAACAAATTCATTTGTGGTAATTGCTACCAAGAGCAGATAACCCTGAGTAACATCACCCTTGAAATCAAAGTGTAAGAGGAAGTAGAGCAAGTTAATCATGTAGACAAGGAAAACTCATCAAACTGCAATTGGCAGTTTAATAGGCAGTATGACCTCCGTTGACATCAATAACTGCCCTGCAACGTCTGCACATGCTCCTTATTAGTCGTCGGTGGCTGATCTGTGGGATGCGCTGCCATTCCTCTTGCAGAGCAATCATAAGCTGTTGGCGGTTCTGTGGCGGATTAGGTCGAGCTGAAACCCGGCGTTGCAAGGTGTCCCAAACATGCTCGATAGGGTTCAGATCAGGAGAACGACTTGGCCAGTCCATGCGAACGATTGCTTCACGTTGAAGATAGTCGTTGACCACACGAGCACGGTGAGGACGAGCATTATCATCCATCAGAATAAAATCATGGCCAACAACTCCTGCAATGGGCCTTACTATAGGGTGTAGAATCTCGTCCCTGTATCGAACAGCTGTTAAAGATCCATTGTCTATGATGTAGAGGTCTGTATGGAAGTCAACACTGATCCCTGCCCAAACCATCACTGACCCACCACCAAAGCGATCATGCTGGACAACACAGCAGTCTGCATAGCGCTCTCCTTGGGTTCTCCATACCCTCCTCCTACCGTCATGGAAGTCAACACAAAACCTAGACTCATCTGTGAACATAACATTTCTGCAATGACGTAATTGCCAATTCAAATGATGAGTGGCCCATTGATGTCTGGATTGTCGATGACCTCTGGATAAAATTGGTCGGACTGCTGGTCTTCTAGCTCGTAAATTAGAGGCATGGAGTCTGTTTCTGATTGTCTGGGATGAAATCCTTAGATTTGTAGCACGCTGAAACTGAAGATTCAAGACAGGAGCACTCAAAAACCGCTGACGTCGTGCCGTGATGCAAATGAATCTGTCCTGTCGGGCTGTCGTACAGCGTGGTCGTCCAGATCTGGGGCGTTGACGGACGTTATTTGTCTGTTGATAGCGATTCCATAGCCTACTAATCACGCTCTGAGAAACATGAAGCTGTGCCGCCACATTTCGTTGAGTTTGACCAGCTTGAAGGAGCCCTATAGCTCGCGCGGCTTCCATATCATTTAAATGTCTTCGCATGATTAGTTTTTCAAGTTTTCGTTACAAATTGATTAAATGTTTCCAAATTCAACTTTTTTTAGCTTAGAAGTAACAGAATCAAAACCTGCAAGATTCCTCTGTAGTAATAGACCAGTCAGTTTTTCACACCACCATAGTTAACTAGAGCGGAACGGCAAGACCTTCAGATGCACGTGCTTTCACCTTTGACATGACTTTAGGTACATATTGGAGAAACTACGAGTGCAATTACCGGCAATACATGATTTGAATTTTTAAAGATATTATGGTCACAATTTATGATCCTTAACTTATTTTGTCCAGTATATAATGGAAATTATATAATGTTATATTCTTTGGCTTTAGACTCGAATGTTTAGACCAAAATAACTATCTTGAAGTTCCCAAACAATAGAATGACTCCAGTGGATGTACGTCATCTACATATCCATTAATGTTTCTGGTGTTAAATGGGGGTAATTAAATTCTTCATCACCTGTCATTGCCAGGGACAGTCATAGATTATTTTTCAACGACGTAATGAATTGACATTCTAAACAATTCATCAATGTAAAATTGTTATACACCTAATTAGACGACAGTGAAGCCAAATTTCCAATGTGCTTGGTCCAACACAGTGATTTTTATTCCGAATCTGCATACTTAGGGTAAATATTTATCGGGTAGGGTCCATCACCGAGGAAAAAGGTTGGACTGTTGACTGATATAATACACCTGACAGTCTGGATGTATGTACAATGACGACAATAAAAAAGTAAATGTTTGCATTTACGTGAGTGTCCGTTACAATATAATAAACGGTAGCCATCATTAAACATTTTCATTGAAGAATTCCTATACAAGTTAAAACTTTGCATGGTATGTCAAATGTCAGTGGTCTGCACTTCCCGCATGTCTTCACAACATAGTAGGGCTAATAGAATCTTCCCCTACCCTGAGGGTGTGATAGAGAAATCTCCAGCCCGAGGGGTGATTTTTTTGTTGTTGTCTAACCCGAGGCTCTGCCGAGGGCTAGACAACAAGAATATCACCCCGAGGGATGGAGATTTCTCTGTCACATCCTCTGAGGGTAGGGGATGATTATTTTTCTCCAACCCCATTATTTCCGCCACGACGTAAAAAAAAAAAAAAAAAAAATCCCACCGTAGTGTCTGAATGGCGCATGAATATCACCATTGACGTTTCAAGACAGTAAAATCATTACGCAACATAATATAGATCGTAAAAAAATCAATGATATTTATTAATTATTCATTTACAATATAGTATTTCTGATATTATATATCAATAGATCGATCAACATATGCTTTATATACCACATTCGTATATAAACAGTCGTTTTTCTCCCTGTCACTTCAAAGCGTACTTTGCAGGTCGTGATCAGTGTAGCCGACCGCGACCGGCGCACCTGGCGGGGAATTTCGAGTCTTTCATCGCCAGGTAGATGCGTGACATATTTACACTAGCAAAACAACAAGTTGAAGTTTGGTCCGAAGAATTATTCGTCACTATCGCTGTCGTAAATAACGCGAGGCCGTCGACGTGTCAAATTTATTTCAGGAGCCTGTGGCACGGTGGTGGTGGGAAACATGTGGTTGTGGGTTTGAATGTTAATGTTTCCTCCACTAATTGTGGATCCATAGAATATGGACCGTGTAACATCAGTTGGATCAGAACACATGGATATGCTGTTGTGTTGTTGTGTTTGGGAATTATTTTTCTTTTGCGAAGAGGTTAGTGTTTTGAAATCTCTCAGTCTCAGCCATTTTGATTTTGGGGCAGACGATTGCGGGATTTGTCTACCTTTGTACAAAAGAGAAATAGTCACTCGAGCGAGGTCACCGAGTGCAGTTATGTGGGATAGATTTATCCTCCATGGTTGTTCCACATGAGACATGTCTATCCTACATGGGCAGAGGTGGGAGAAAAGGAAATTCCGTATGGTAAGATAACAAATATATAAATAATGGTAGCAGAGCTCAGGTTTGACAGAAATATAACAGAGGCTAGAGAATACAGCACGTTCAATCCACGAAAGAGCGTGTAGATATTGCTGGGGTAATATGGCTATGGATTGAATAATAAACCGATATTCTTGTAAAAGATTGAAAGGCTAAGCTGTACACAGTTACTTATATAAATATAAACTTTATTTATTTTACAACAATTGCGAAACAAGTTATGTCAACTTATACTAATCACTCTTGTTGGCCCGGATGTAAGCGCGCGAGGGGTCTTATTGTGGGAGGAAACCGGAGTACCCGGGGAAAACCCACAGTTACTTCTGATAATACAAAGCGAAGAACAAATCGATTCTTCTTTAGTCTTGAAAATATATTTGACTACGATAGGATTCCTTATATAGATGTCCATTCTCGTAGCCGAATTTCAGTTTGACATATTATTACCATATACGTACCTTCACATTCTGCTGTATGTTGGTCGCATACCCCATCCTTACAGGTGTCAGGGCATGTCTTGTCACAGAAGCTTCCATAGTTCCCGTTCACACAAGCTAAATCAACGTTTATTACAATGTAATAAGCATTTTCACTCACATTTCGAAACAAAAAGATTTATAATCAATTTGCGTGTTATATCAGGTATGTAATTTTAGAATGTCGACTCTGATCATCAAATTTACTTCTCAATCGTAGAAAGGTGCAACAACGTATAAGCATTTCAAACACTGATTTGATGGTGTATAAATCCTTACGTGAGTAATACTCCTTCTAGTAACTAGAAATGGGGTTATTTTCTGAGTTACAGGTACATGTATTCAGACAATTTCAATCATGACAATGAAAGTAAAATGAATCCAATGTGCAATTAGAAATGACACAGTACTTACATGCGCAAACGCCAGTCTCCACATCGCATATTTTCCCGAAACAATTATCAAAACATCCTATACACACAGTCCCGCTTTTGAAAAATCCTTCTGCACAATCTAAAAATGATTTGATATTTTGTCAGGAGTAGCATACACCACGTTTACTATAAAGATATAACTGTACATAATAGAACACCAGAGAATAGTTTAAAACGCCGAAGTAAACACTATTAATAGTTGTACCGGTACTTCAGGGGATTTTATACATGTTTACATAAACATGTAATGAAACCAAAACATTGTAAAAGAAATTAATGTTGATGTCGAGGTAGGAATTATATGAATGTCTGCATTTCGGTCTGACTTACCAAACGTTACATTATATTTGACACTCATGAATAATATGTCATATTTAAAATTCATATTTTTCTATTTTCAGTTTTTTCTTCAACGAAAAACTTCCTTTTCGATCATAAGACCGCTGCTCAGCACAATGTACGAAGTTGTTCAGATATTAAAATCCATTTTCTAGAATTTCTGTTGTAAATACAGAGAAATATGTTTGACCCAAAAGTGCATGTTGATAGTGGTATGAATAACCATGATAAGCTTTCAGGATTGATATCATTCATGCATAACAAAGATTATTTTCAGTAATATATATCACCAGAGAGATAGAGAGAGAAACTTTAAAACGCGAGATTTGTTTTGTACTGACTTTGAAAATAAGTAACAGTTATTAGTAACAGTTACGATCTCTGACTGGAAAATCTATTTCTATAGCAAGACTAATCAGTATCATATTGCTATCGTAGTCTGAATTTGCTTTTACGTTCGTGCATTCAACGAAGGAAAGATTTGTTGACATTATAAAAACATTAAACGTTACCTCTATTGCTTAAACAACATGGCTATCGATCAAGTGCTATACATCCCTGTTTATTTAAAGTAAAAGAAATAGTGAAGTTCGTCCTTTTACCGAAATCCTTTATAGAATTATTTACATTCCTTCTGCAAATACTTGAAATCTTAGCCCGCCTAGTATCAACATACAAGTATTGTATGTATTGTAATCATGTACAGTGCAAACTTTCAAATATCCACCAGAAAAGACCAATTTTTCCATTATTAATTAGGTGACATAAACTACATTGATTCCTTTATTGATTGATAATTATTTTCAGACATAATTTTACATTCTAATGATTTTACCGAATCCAAACAATTTTTTTCTACATGGAAGATTAAAATGACACATTATGACCCTTAGCCTATTACCACTGCATATTATGGATATTATATAATGTTATATTCTTTGGCTTTAGACTCGAATGTTTAGGCCGAAAGTAACTATCTTGAAGTTCTCAAACAATAGAATGACTCCAGTGGATGTACGTCATTTATATATTTATTAAGGGTTCATTAAATCATAAGTTTGAAACAATCCACGTGAGGTGTCTAATTATTAACTTACATGTACATCGACCAGTGTCAGGGTTACACGAGTTGTTAACACAGGTTGTACTACAGTTGGAATCACAGTTGTTGTTACCAAATTTCCCCAATGGACAACCTGAAAGTCATGTATATGATAAATACTTAGGGACACATGAAGCAATGTCGTAAAAATATAATAATAATACTTATTGTCATTTGTGTCTAAAATGGATTAAGATTTTTCTGTCTGATTTATTATTATATAAATATTCCAAAGAAAACGTCACTGTATGTGAATTGAAATGATTTCTAACATTGTAAATATGAAGAGCGATAGAGACATGTCTATACCTGATATTTCCGCCACATATAATCTCAGTTTGTGGTTTAAAAAGTACTTTACATGATAAAGCATACATACAATGATTGATGGTTTTTAGATATATAACAAATAACTTTGATTGAAGTAAAAACAGGAATATATACGTAATGATGTGTGCTTTTTTATTGTGTATCAAGTATTGATATATCAATACAGTTATGCAGTGGTATATGATGAAAGGATAAAATATTCGTATGCATGAACTAGTAAGCAAAGATCACGGAAAAATTAATCAGTATTTTCATATCTATATATTAAAGTACAAACGTCATAGTTAATTCATTTTCTCGGATTTTGTGATTTATCTGAAAGTACATCTTTGAACCAGTGGCGATCGCCTCGATATGGGTCGCCCGCATCTGTGACGTCATCAGTTCAAAGCTGCCAAAACAGCCCAATAGAAATATGCAAGAAAACCTCCAATGATATTCGAGCTTTTCAGCTACTTATGTGCTATATTCCGTTGAGATTTACTTCTGTATGTTATACCAAAGTGCTACATCGATATAGAAAGGACTTTTTACAATTTAGCTTATGACATTACTTCCTTTCCTTTTTTCCTGGCAAATAATGCAGTGTATATAGACCCATGTTTAAATAATGCATAGTGTGTTTGTCTTTACCATGCGAAAACGTTTTCGCTACGTTTTAGCGTCATCTTTATACCGATTAAACGAATATTTTTTATCTCAAACTTTACTACTTTGAATGCTGCGATCAATTTGGATACGATTTTGTGACTTTACAATCAATAGGGTCCAATTTAACGAGTTACGTTTATGTTGATTAGTAGTAGAAGGACATGTCAATATCATACACTTTACTCGTAAATATCGCGGTATTTAGCCGGCCTAACTTTTCAACCTTTCTTAATTTTGGATCATCAGAAAAAATACTTTATCAATTTCTATTTTTGCATAGGGAACTCTTTAACTTAGTCTTCTTTATATAGTATATTGTTAACTAAGAGTGACGGAAACTACGAAGTCCTAAAACGAATTTAAGTTACCATTTTTTCTTTGTTCTTTTCAGACCATTGATGCATAATTTTATATATGGCATATGAATTATAAACTACGTTAAACATGTTTTTGTGTTCTGAAGTAAATATTGTGTTTTCTAGGAAGAAAAGCGTGCTTCTATCTAGTTTATTTATTCATTTATTTCAAATCATTGAATCAATATGTTTGTAAATTGTATATGACATTTGTATTTTTAATTATTTATAGGATACTTTAGTGTTCATGTGAATTCTCGGTGAAAAAAAGTGTTTTCTTGGTGAAATTATTTCAAGTTGATCACTACGACAGAACATCACAGTCTAGAGAGAACTAAACGTTTCGGCAACCCGGCTGACTGAAACTGTTCATTATTTGTGTGTGTTTTATGACATTATTCCCGTCCATACTATATATGTATATATCAGTAAACGATATTTTCTTACTGAATGAGCTCACCATAAATTTCGACTTCACAGAGTTCGAGGATAGCGTAGTCAGAATACCAACTGTAAGGTTTGTCTGGTCGTCGATCAACATAGATAGTCAGGTAGATTGTGTTGCCTGTACACGATTGAATAGATGGAGCAAGGTCCATCGATTGCCATGTAGATGTTGTATCTGTATGACAGTTGTCACCGTTTCTCCAATCTGTTGTATTTGACAGGTATATCTGAAAGCCACCAAATCGCCCTGCCTGACTTTGGACTACATCATCTATGCAAAATAAAGTAAAATGAAGTCAGATAAAATAATGCTTTGATAATATTTTTGACGTAATCCTTGAGTTGAATATTACTTTGATTAAAACCCAACAATTATAACCATGCATTATATTTCAATAGTTTAGAGAACACACGCGCACACACAAATAAGAAGAAAATACCAATAAGTAAATAGAATCATAATCCAAACGTATATGCAACTACAAAGTTCTTTTTTGCCATTTATGAAGAAAGCGATAGTATGACTTTGTTTATCGCGAAGTACATTTTTGGATGTTGATATCTTACTGATGCCGAAAGTTCACTTTTTACACAATGTTTTCTTGTTATTATAGCAACTGATCGACGCGTGTAACTGATCAAATGTCATCACCAAGTAGATCTTTGGTATTGAAAAAAGCCTTCAGATTATTTTAACATACTTGACCCATGTGACCTTGAACATAAGAAAAGGTAATTAATATTATCAACCTTAATAGCCGTTAAATTGGGCATTTAACATTGGAAACATCAAGTGTCTAGAATGTGTAGAACTTATTTTTTTCGTATTTTTTCGGGTTTTCGTCTTTTCGTTAATACTTTTTTTTTGTTTTGGCGAGTTTTCGTCTTTCCGTTTTGTTGCTTTCCGGCTTGGATGCAAGAGAAGACACACCTATTTTGAACCGACAAGACCTGTAACTTGCATGTTTCATTGAACCGTGTACCTGTACGGTTTTTATATTACTCTCGGTGATTCGTGAGTGGACCCGATTGTTTTAAAAAAGAAACACGACACGCAGATAAAAATGAGACTAATATGAAAGTTCGAAAGATAGACGTGTCGATTACTCAGATTTGAGCGCTAAGCTAACTTGTACATACTTATTTAATGCCTGACGTTGGTCAAAAACTGTTTGATTGAAACATACTTCATGTATTGTAATTACCATCGCCTTCCCCTCTTCACTACATGATGTTACGTTCTTCATTCAAAATATGAACATTTCTTCCGAGAATATTTCGTTCATTTGTTTAATTTAAAAAAAAATATTATTACGTACAGAGAAGAATATAGCAATTGTGTTATTATCTTATATATAATTATATGGAATAGACTCATTGATAAATTTACCGTTTATAAAAAGAAACAGGTCCGATACTCCGAAGGTCCGTTACTCCGAAAACACCGCAAAACTGAGTGAGAATTATTGTTAAACAACAATAAAACACCAATTGTGTGAGGTTTCTTCATAGATAGACAAACATATGCGTTTAATAGTTCACATCTGTAATTACGCACGTTTCATTAATGTCTGTGTTATGCATGACCAAATACATTGTATCTCCCGCGAAATACACTTAATAAAGAGGGATGAATGTTAGCTTAATAATACTGTTCAACTTTATTTCATGTATTTTATGCTAGTGTTACTGCACCAACGACATAACTTTAAAATATGAAATACCAACATTTATCAATTTATAAATGAAAAATGATTTTAAAATAAGCTTACTGTTTTCTCAGGACAGGGGTGGGGGGTGGGGGGTTGGGGGCTGAAGTTATTCAGCTTTTCTGAGTGAAGGGGGATAACTCTTACAAGATTTCTGGTAAACTTTATACTTTCAAGCGCCCCAACAACCCAATCATTGTAGCTTTATTCCGGGACCAGCCAGGCGGGAAAAATGTTCCCACCCACCCATCCCTTTTGCCAGTGAGCTACATTCATCAAGATTATCATTAAGGACTGATTTGGTAATATTTTCTGCCTCGAGTTCTCCTACATGTCCAGACGTTTCCGAAGATTCTGATATTGCTGTGAACAGACCAGGCTGGTCTCTATGCATCCACATACCCCTCACCGCAGTATAGGACAGGTGTGGAAATTCATTGTTGTATAGTGTATGTGTAGTGTTCCTATTAGCAGAACGTTGAACTTAATAGGGTAATGTTTCCGACTGGATACAACCCGGGGTCGAATTCCGAGGACTTGTTCAGGTATTTGTGTGAAGTTGTCTCAGAAAAGTGAACTAGTACTATTGTCAGTTCATTACATTCTTTTATACTGTTTTTTTACCAATTGGAACATTAAGATTATGACCAGAGCACAGTCCATTTCAATAAAGGATAAACATTTTAGGCAGTTTGACTGCTGCGATATGTGAATAATTCAATTTTAAATGATATGGTGCGCTTTGCATTATGTTCAGTAGCAGCAATACTATGAATGTTGGGTGTTTATGTCTAGTGTCCATGTAAAACTTAAGGATTTGAAACCGAAAAGAAAGGGATTTTTGTTTTAGCATTTTTTTTTATACAATTTGGATTGTGTTGCATAGAGCTTATATTAATCAAATTCACAAACAATTGAGGCCAACCCGTGCTACCTGGGTGGTGCTGATGTGCTCTACATATATTGGAGAATACAGGCGATCAGTTCTGAGTTCTCGGGATCCTGCCAGAAACCATTGCTATGGCCTTGATAACTTCCATTATTTGAAAGTTAGTGATGGTGTAATTAGATAACTTCCATTATTTGAAAGTTAGTGATAGTGTAATTGGGCACTAGTCATAGTAAGTTGTATTGTTGGCTTTCTTAAATAAATGATGATTTAATGGTATATTTATTCTTTGTCTTGTTTTACCTTATTGTTAATATTCTGCTTTGTAATTAATGTGAATAATGACGATATCAGAAGTTTTTTGTAAATTCAAGTAAAGAAAGTTTATACATGTACATCAGCTCATCTTTATTGATTGACTATTTTTGTCATTTCTGTTAAACTGAATGTGTGACCGAGCTTGACACATCGATCACATGACATAACGTTTTCATATTGAAATGAGGTGTTGTAAATTCAGTTGAGAGTAGTTGCCATCAAAAACGATTTACATGTATTCGACGGGACAGTTTACATGTGTTTTAATGCACGTCCCAATTATTCATATTTCTTAAGATCACGAGAACGGGATGACTACATTTCGGTGTCGAATGTAAGTTTAATATCCTAACAAAGAAATTTCCCTTTTAACTTATTTCGTTTATTTATTTATTTTTGCATTATCTATCGCTATATCTCGGCCAACTTTTACAGCTTTATTACTACAGTATGATACATTCTAACATAAATGGAAATAAGTAACATTTAGCAGGATCCGAATTCTACTTTCCAGCAACTGGATTCTTATAATTAGAAGTAGTATTTTAAAGAGCACAGTATATCGATTCACGTAGCGTGCATTTTTCAATATACATTCCGTGCAACGCAATATTTTACGATTGATCAAACTATTACTTATCATAATACATCAAAGGAGGAGTGCCAAATTTGGGCCTTCTGGTGGCCATGACGAATAATGCATCTATAAACAATACGTTCATCACGTGCAGTGTATTTATTTGAAATATTTTTGCATGAATTAGAGCAATGAATAAGTTACAGTCAGGGTAAGAGAGGCATGCCATTTAAATAAACTAGTTACAATTTAAAGTGCAAGAGCACCAGTCACTATCTTATTCCGGTTAATGAAAATGAATATTGAATTATACTGTATGAAAAAATATTTTAAATAAATTTCACAGTATAATAATTCTTCCGTGCATTATTTGTACTCTTGAGCTTTAACATAAGATGATTTGACACTAGAGCTTTAACATAAAATCGTATGGCATCATGACATCTCCCTGATGTATACCTTGTTAATGGACTTGTTTTAAACACTAGCAAACTTCAGTAATCTACAATGCAGTGTATGTAACACATGGTATATCCAGATGTATAAGTATACCTTGTTCTGTGCAGTTCGTACATGCATAGACTTATGCACATATCTTGTGAATAACTAAACCGTTAAATGTAATTTCATTCATACAAGTGTGACATATATATAATAGTATTATAGTGTTTTCCTTAGTTTTTATTAAATTTTTGTTATTTTTGTAAAATGCCAGTACACAAATACTGTGCTTGCTGCAAAGCAGATTATAAAGTCAGAATATATTGTCTGAATCAGGCAGATTCATTTCAATGTTCTTCAGTCACTCACTTCTACCAGTGAAGACTCAAAACTGGATTCATCTGAAATATCAGAAATATCAGAAATCCTGCTTTCACTGATATCACTGGCTCTAGAAAAAAAGTTGTTTAGACTTTGATTCACCTGTTGGATTAACTGATCAAGATTATTATCGACTCACAGGACTTTATAAATGTTGCTTCGAAGGTGTACAATCTTTGGATTGAATATTCTAATGGACTGACCCCAATATCAGGCTGGTATTGTCAATGTAAGGCTGGAGCCAGAGTAGTCGGCTGCTGTGCCCACATTGCATTTGTCCTATGGTATGACCGACACCAGTCTGATACTACACAAACAACTGCCTCCTCAAGTTTCCTTAGCTGTGTTGATGACGAAATGACGGTGGAGAACTGATCAGATTATGGCAGCGACAGTGATTCCTAAATATCCCAACACCACCATTCCCCTTACTAAAGCAGTAAACAAAAATACAATTCTGTAAGTAATAGACAAAGGTAATTTATGATCCTGTGAAACCCGGTGCTAAATTGATTTTTTTCCATTTTAATATCATCCATATTTGTAAAAATATTTCAAATACATACACTGCACGTGATAAACGTATTGTTTATAGATGCATTAAGACAAAAAACGATGCTCAAGTGTGACTTAATTAGTAATAAGGGCACTTAATTACCGTGACCTACTTTTCAACAATGGCATATTTTTTGGTCATTTTTTCTAATGAAGGTTTTAAAATATATCATCAAATGACATTTAAGAGAAAAAAACTAAAAAAAATTTTTTAGTTAATGTCATGTCATTACCGTCTGACCTCAAGTTTTTAATAAACAAAAAATAAAAAGTATTCGTCATGGCCACCAGAAGGCCCAAATTGGCACTCCTCCTTATATGTTTGTGTTTTTTTTAATGAAAAGAGCGGAACCCTTTATACCAGAAAGAAGCAAAACGAAAAGACGAAAACCCGCAAAAGCGTCAAAGTAAAAGGACGAAGACGCCAAACACATTCGTAAGCCTAATGTTTGTTTATGAAAGAATAGAAACTCATATAAAACACGACGTGTAATATGCAGAAATTTATAAGGATTCCCTGTTGTCAAACCCATACATATAAATATGCATCCATACAAAAAATCTAAAAGATATTACTTTAATTTCTTTAATAATGCATATAATAGGTAGTGCACTATTCATTTCTTGTGACGTTACTTAATTATCATCACTGTTTGTACTAGTCTGGTCCATTTAGACTATAATGTCTTCAATTTATATCATATACTTCGTAAATTAAAAAAAGCTATCGCTAGCAAATTTATAATAACGAGATAACCTAAGTCGTAATAACGAGATAACGTAACTCGTAATAACGAGATAGCCTTTACTTTTCATGTAGTACTAATCGGGTTTCGTAGAAACAACACAAATGGATTATGCAATTGGTGGAGCTAACGTTTGTCGAATGGTTAATTGATTTTTTCAAAATTAAACAAGAATATGTATAATCATGTCATTTCTATTTAAGGCATCGAAGAACGGCAAAAACTAACAAAAACCACCGAGATTTTACTCGTTTTAATTGCAATATTGAAATTACTAAAATTTGGTCTATGAATATGGTCTTTGAATTACATTGAGGGTAAATGTGATGAACACAGCGTGTATTATTACTAGCATCTAAGCGACATATCATTTTATTTTATATCATTTCAATGTTCATACTCATATGCAAAATATGATATTAAGATTACATTTGTATAGTGTGTGTTCCGGACAAAAATGCACAATTATCTGAGTATATTTAAAATAAACAGTACCCAGTAAGTATTATTATCATTGTTTACCGGATGTACGATCTATTTTCATAATCATACAATGGTGTAAATGTGTCTTGGTATCAACGAAAAGTATAAATGATGAGAAGAAGCTGAATACCGTACTTATTATGACACATATAAACCCATCCTTACACTAAAAAGATGATATGTTACTATGCTTTGTTTCTTACTTACTTCTGTAGTATATTTTCACATGTTCAATAACGACTGGACCACCGAGGTTAATCTGCCACCAAGCTTCCAATAATGTTAGATTTGTATGTATACAACTACCACTACCATATTTTTGATCAGTCCTGCCATCTACTGCCTTTTCACTAGTGTGCGTCGTTGACAAATTAGAGCTTTGACTTGTCTTGATATTTGGTTCACGACATGAATTCACTAAAATGAAAATTAAAAAAAAGAAATAAATATCACATCTAGCACAATTAAAGATGATGCAAGGTTTACTTAGCCAGAGCAAGGGTATGATTAAAATAGTATAGTCAGTCCCTCTCCCGAAAACTTAGTAATATTTTCTACCCTTTCCCGACCACTGAAAGGCCGAAAGGTCGAAATTCTGGACGAAAACCCGAAAATTACATTCAATAAAACAATGTTAGATTATCGTTATACGAACATGATAATGCGTTTGTTGTCATGCACAGTTTCGTTTATGATTGATGTGCTAATAACTTGTGTCAACCGATTTGTTTTTGTCTTGCCTGAGCGTGGTCTTAAATGCCAATTTGTGATTTGTTTTCCATAATTCTATAGTTCATTGCAATATGGTGTTTAAAACGTTGTCAACCCATCCAACTATTATCCAGTCCGGGTTCCATTGACTCTAAAAAAATGTTAGCCATTTGGACAGACAGATATCTCACGTGAAATCATAGCTCACCCATTTATGAAAACATGGCGTTCTGTAACATTGCTTAATGCCGTTAAGTTTGATATAAGTATGGTGACCAAAGTAACAGGAAATTATTGGG